TTCCCCCAACACAGTTATTTTAAATGATTTTATTAATATTTTTATTTGGTTTGTAAGCTGCTTTGCAAATGTGATGAAAGGGTGGCATAAACTTAACAGTTGGAAAACCCCGGCCTCTGGGCCAGGGAGGGGCTGTTGCTCAGTGGTAGAACATCAGCTTTGCAACCTGACAGTCCCATGTTCAATCCCTGGTATTTCCAGTTATAAAGATCAGGTAGAAGGCAATGGGGAAGACCTCAGCCTGAGACCCCGGAAAGCCGCTGCCATCCAGAGTAGACGAGACTGACCTGTACACATCTCTGGTATGACTCAGTATGAGGCAGCTACACAGATTGACAAAGGTGTGAGAAATGTACAGAACAGAAGCCTTAACCCTGCAAACCTGGGGATGCAGAAGAGGACACAGACCCAACCCTACCCCAAGAACCCAACTATGTTTTTCCAAAATGCCTTGTCACAGCAGTACCTTTTTCTGTTGATGGTCTATCATGACGTTGTGAGGTTTGACATCTCTGTGCATGATCCCCATGCTGTGACAGTAATCCAAGGCCTGCCAGAGAAACATACAGGTTAGTTCCGAACATAATACTGAGTCTATTCACTGATAAGGAGGCCCAGTAACCCAACTATTACCATGTACCAGTTTGTCTCTACAGCCTGGGCACAGCCAGTAAGGATGCCAACCTTCTACAAAGTACATATCATCCAAGAAGTTAACTGGTCCAATCACAAAGGCAACACTGAATTCTCAATATGCAGGACAGTCTTCCATTTCTCCCCCAAGTTAAATTCTCTTTCAAGCTTTTGGACCCCAAAACTGAGTCAAGCTTTCCAAGACAGAGTGCTTGTAAAAAGGGACACTGACCTTTCCACAAGAAGCCATATGATCTGAACAGAAATAAACCTTGAAAGTACACAAACTTGGGGGCCATTGAAAGACCTTGGGTCAAGCTATGGGTCAAACAATGTTGAAAGGCAATTTCCTCAGGGATCTTCTATGCCTTCTGCAAGCTTCAGGAATATTTTCCATCAAGGCAGTTCACTAATATAGTGGCTCCTACATTCAAAACAGCATTCCGTGCACCTTGGTGTTTAGTCATGCCGGCCACATGACCACGGAAACGTCTTCGGACAGCGCTGGCTCTTCGGCTTTGAAACGGAGATGAGCACCGCAACCCTAGAGTCGGATTCGACTGGCTTTCCAGCAAGGGAACCTTTACCTTTACATTCAAAACAGAAAACTTATCGCTGCCAAACTCCATACCTAACGTTCTCGAAACAACCTGGAGGACTAGGTTTCTGAACACTCTGCCCTGGAGGAAGCAAACTTCTGTAAGGGCAGATCTACCATGGATCACTGCTATACAGAAGATATCGTTGGCCCCTTTGTTAATAATAAAGCCTTCCACTATTGATTGTACTGCTAAAGCACAACTTTTGCAGAACCGAGGAGTCACTAATATTCCTAAACATCTTGTTCAGATGCAGGTTCTCATATCAAGAAACTCAACATCAGGTGCATCTGTCCCTGACTGGGTGTTTGACAGACCCAATTCAGCCCATGAAGGGAGTGAAGCAGGGTGTACTCTGGTACCTTGTTACGTAACTGATGTTATTTTTTCACTAAATAATGACATTTTGAGGCTTCTGGTGAGAAATCATGGTGAGTTAACATCTCCAAAGAAGCAGAGAAACATTGTGGTCAGGAACACTGGCAGGGAAGGAGGATTCCAGCCAGCAAAATCTTCCTGGGTTAAAGGGAGATCGTGAGATAACTCACTTGTACTCCTGATGGCTGCTCCGCATGAATAAATTACAGAAACTGAGGTTGGCTTGTAAGTTGAGTGACCTGAAGTCTCAGGACTTCATCCATGCTCACAGCTGCAATGTAACCTATATGGTCACAAACCTGGCCATCCTCATTTGTTAAGAATTTGTGGAAATAATTTCTTTACAGACAAAGGGAGATTTCCTCTAAGACAAAGACGAGTGGTAAGCTAAGCCTTTTTTTTGGATTATAAAAAATAAAAAGCTATTTGAAGGATTTATGGACTTTACACAACAAAAGATAAGGTAACGACTCAGACTGTGGATTCTGTTACTATGGTGATGTGACTCAAAATTGTGGCGACAGATCAATAAAGAGAGTGAAAGTGCATGAGTTATATAAAACTTTAGGTCTCTAAGACTTGCTTTTGGATTTTATCATACAATGGCCAGTACCAGAAAAATCACAAAAGAGAGTAGGAGGGGATTGATAGACTTATCTATAGAAAACAGTTACTCCAGATTTGCTTCAGAAATTATTTGAACAAATGGAAAACAATATGGAAGATCTTGGTAATAAGATGGAAGGTTTTGAAAAATGAATGGATGAAAGGCTTGTAAAGATAAAAGTGGAAATGAAAGAAGTCAAAAAATTGGAAAGCTCTATAAAACAAGTATCTAGAGCACTCTAGTCTTTGATTGTTATGAATGCTTTTGTACTGTGGGATTTATAAATGTTTTTAAAGTTGTTTTATATTGCCGTTTGCCACTTGTAAGCCGCCCTGAGCCCGCATTGCGGGGAGGGCGGGGTATAAATTGAATTAAATAAATAAATAAATAAATAAATATCTGGAGAGGTAAAGCAAATCAATGACAAGGTAGAAATATTAAGAGCATAAAACAGAAATTATAGATAGAGACCTGGAAAAGGAATTAGAGAGCTGGAAAAAGAATTAGAGAATTTGACTTCAATGGAATTGAGAGGAAAATAATTTTGTCTGAGATTTAGAGCTATTCCAGAGGTTCCTGACGAAGATATTAGAGAAAGGATTGTTCCAGTTTTGGCAAAAAAAAAAATTGATTGGGAAGAGGAAGATATGGAGACTGAAACTGACAATGTTTATAGATTAATTCTAGATTTGCCAGAACAAGAAATATCCCAAGGGATATTTTGATTCCTTTTGTGAGGAAGAAGATAACGGACCAAGTTCTCCAACAACATTTTATCACAAGATTAAAATTGGTAATACAAATATAATTGTTCTGAAAGAAATTCCTATTAGAATTTTATGTAGGAGAAAAAGATTATGCCTTTCTGCTCGAAAAATTAAAAAAGAAAAATATTGCTTTTTGACAGGATACTTTGGAAGGTGTGATCTTTACTTTTAAGAAACAGATATTCAGACTGAACTCAGTTCAAAAGGTGAGAGATTTCTTAGAAAAATTTAAAAGAGATCTGGAAGAGATGCAAATGGAAAGTCCAGCAGAACCCACACAAAAACTGCAACAGAAAATGGCAAAGGAAGACACTGAGTTAGGTACCACAGGTACTAACTAAATTTTAATTAATTTTAATTAAAACTAATTAAATTAAAATTAATTTTAATTAAATTTTAATTAAGACTGAATTGTAATTCATTCAACTGCTTAGCATGGAATATTAATAGAGCAAATGCTCCTCAAAAGAGAAATATTTCATTATTTTAAAAAACTAAAACAAGATATTATTTGTCAGCTGCTGTAGTTTTTCCGGGTTGCATGGCAGTGGTCTTGGCATTGTATTATTTGTTCACAATACACTCATATCAGAAAAAAATATATAAAATATTTGGTTCATAAACCTTTGGGCGAAGAATTTTTCTCAGGAGATATTAAAAAGAGAAATGGAGTTGTTTTGTATATTAAATCTCATCTACAACCAGAATTGGTACTGAAGGATGATTATGGCAGATTTCTGGGTGTAGATGTCAATTTACATGGGGTTAAGACTATGGTGGTGGGACCTTACGCTACAAATTAAGACAAAGCAGTGTTTTGCAAAAGACTTATGGAGAGCTTAATAAATTTACCTTATGAAATTTGGTGTTTAATGGGGGATTGGAATAGAGTGATTTTCCCACAAATGGACAGGACTTCTGAGAAAATTTTTAAATGCTTCAAGGTAAACTACCAAAAGTTTTCTTTGATTTGATGGACAATTTGGGGTTGGAGGTATTGTATTAATGGATACTGTGGCTATACAAAAAACATTTTACCAGTATTATTCAAATTTATATAAGGAATATGAATAACATTCAATTGGAAAAAATAGATGACTATATTTGAATTTTTTTTACCCAGGATTACAGAACAACAAAGACAAATCAGGAATGAACCTGTATCAATACGAGAAGTGATGGAAGCCATAAAAAAGATTAAACCAGGAAAGGCCCCTGAACCTGATGGCCTTCCCAATATATACTACAAGTTCTTTGAGGATTAACTTTTACGACATTTACAAAATACGATGAATTCTATCCTACAGAGAGGAAAGATGCTGTAGACATGGAAAGAGACTAATGTAACATTAATACTTAAAGATGGACAAGACTTGACTTTGACAAGAAATTACAGATCAATATTATTATTGAATAATGATTATAAATTGTTCACAATGATATTAGCTGAAAGACTTAAAATAATTCGAAGATCAAAGTGTTTTTTTTTTTACCTAAAAGACAGCTGAGGGATAATGTTAAGAACTGTATTAGACATTCTGGAATATTTGAAAAAACATAATGAAAAACAAGCTGCTTTGAACTTCTTAGATGTAGAGAAGGCATTTGACAATTTGAACTGGTCTTTTTTGTTTAAAGTCTTGGAGTACATGGATTTTGGAGAAAATTTAATAAAATGGTAAAAAACTATTTATACCTCTCATACAGCACAAATAATTATCAAGGTTGTCCATTGTCATCTCTTTTGTTTATTCTTATTCTTGAAGTACTGAATAGAAATATAAGACAAGAGGAAAGAATTGGAGGTGTAAAGATTAAAAAAGAGTTTTGAAGATGATTTGGTGCTGGTCTTGGAAGATCCTCTAAAGGGAATTGAAACTTTAATGGCTAAATTGAAAGAATTTGGTGCAGTAATGGGCTTTAAGGTCAATAAACAGAAGACTAAGATGTTAACAAATATGAAGATATAACAAAATTGATAAACAAAACAGGTCTTAGAATTGAAAAGAAGGTAAAATATTTGGGGATCACCTTGACAAATATGAATTGAATGTTATTTCAAAATAACTGCTAAGATTTGGAATGAAATTTAAAAAGATTTGTTAAGATGGGACAAAATTAAATTGTCACTTTTGGGGAGAATTTCTGTGATTAAGATGAATGTTTTACCTAGAATGTTATTTTTGTTTCAGACAATTCCTGTTTTGACAATGGAGGTGCCAAACAATGGCATAAAGATATATCTAGATTTGTATGACAAGCAGGGCTCTAGTCGGGGGGGAGCTCTCAGGTACGGAGCTCCGGAAGAGAACCTCTAGGGGGCGGGGCGGTCACGTGGTGAAGCCCCGCCCCCTTCTTTACCCCGCCCTCTGCTTCGATCCTCATTCCGTTTGGGAATGAGGATGAAGCAGGAGGGTAAGTAGCCGGGCCTTCTGACACACTTCCGGTGATGTCAGGGGGTGTGGCCTTCTGTCACTTCCGGTGATGTCAGGGGGCGTGGCATATGCAAATAAGTTATGCTAATGAGTTATGCTAATGAGCTCCGGCAGCTCTTTTTCTACAACAAGACCCCTGATGACAAGGGAAAAACTACAAATTAAATATAAGATATTACAGGATGCAAAGGAAAGAGGAGGATTAGGTTTACCTGATTTGAAATTATATTTTGCTGTTTGCTGTTTAGTGTGGATGAAGGAATGGGTGTTGCTAAAAAGTAGAAGATTATTGGAGTTAGAAGGACATAATTTGAGATTTGGGTGGCATGGATGCCTGTGGTATGACAAAGCTAAGGTGAATGTAGAATTTAGTAACCACTATGTTAGATATGCTATTTTGAGAATATTGAATAAATATAAACCTAGGATCTGTCCTAAAATACCTTTGTAGTTATCATCATAAGAAGCTCACTACAGACGAGAAATTACAAGTTTGCATAAATGGGTAACGTATCATGATATGCTAGAATTTTTGCAAGGTGAATATAAAATAAAATAAAATCAAGAGAAAGATTTGATAACAGAAGGATATACTTGCCAATGGTTTTCTTATTTACAAATCTTAAGAAGGTTTAAAGTAGATAAAAGGCTTCATGATTCTGAGCAGACTAAAACCGAATTTAAAAGAGAATTATGTACAAATGATGAACATGTTATTTTTATTTATTTTATTAAACTTATGAATCGCCCACCCTGCAGAGCAGGGTCTGGGCAATTTACAACATTAAACAGTTAAAATAAGTTGATATATAATTAAAATCACAAATAATAAACATGAAATTAGAACCAATCAGGTTGGTGATAAATAATCCTCCATTGCTGGCCACATGGCTATCCCACACACGACAGGGCAGGGCAGGGTATGTGGGGGCCATAAAGGGAAAAAAGAGAGAAAGGGTGCCAGTCTCAACCTCCCGTTGCTGCCCTCAACTAAAAGCCTGGTGAAGCATCTCCGCCTTACAGGCCCTGCGGAATTGCATCAGATCCTGCAGGGCCCTGATGTTATATGGCAGAGAGTTCCACCAGGTTGGGGCCACGATCAAAAAGGCCCTGGGCCTAGTCAAGGACAGCCGGACCTCCTTAGGGTCGGGGATCACCAACAAGTTGTTATCAGCTGATCTCAGCAGTACAAACTTGTTGAAATTTGAGACAGTAGGAGAACAAAGTAAAAGAATTTATGATAAAATGGGCTAAAATTTTTGGATATGACATACAACTGGAAGAGTATGTGGTTAAAAGGGTTGAAATTTACTCTAAGTTCTAGCCTTAAAGAGAACTTTCTGTATCAATGGTATATATCTCCGGAGAAATTGCCCAAAATGTATAAAGGTACATCGAGTTTATGTTGGAACTGTGAACAACATGAAGGAACATTTCATCATATGTGGTGGACATGTAAGAAAGCCAATTTTTTGGATACAAATACTTTTATTAATTCAGAAGATTTTAAAGATTAATATGCAACTGAAACCTGAGTCTTTTCTTTTGGGATTAATAGAAACTCAGCTGGAAAGAAGCAATGGAATTTTGTTCTTATATATGACAATGGCAGCAAGATTATTATATGTGCAAAAGTGGAAGAATCTTACAATAGAGGAACAGTGGGTAAAGATGCTGGAACTTGCAGAGATGGCTAAACATACTTCATTGATTAGAGAAAAAGGATAATACGTATGTTTATTGCTGACTGGAAACCCCTTATAGATTTTTGCGTGATAAAAATGACTTGATTTGTGGTTTTGATGAATAAGGGGAAATTTAGGCAAAAGAAAAGCAGAGCCTTTCTTTGTAACCATAGAGTAAGAGAATATTTTGTAATCATACTTATATTTTTTGCAGAGAAACTTGGAAGCCTCCTTTACTTTTATATGATTTTTCCTCTCCTTTTTCTTGTTATTTTGTTATTTGTTATTCTTTCTCTTAATGAAACTTTTAAAAACATTGTAAAAAAACCCTAATGACATTTCTAGTTAATACTGAAGACAATCACTTGCAATCTTGCTTTATACATACAAGATGATTTTATCGGCACAGAACAAAACTGGCCTCAAGTAACTCCTTGTAGAAATTATGTGATCACTAAACACAGATAACCAAACTAATCAAGTAGCCGCCTTCAAGGATCAATGTTAGAACAGACAGACCCCATCCCATTAGCAGAGGCACTTTCCTTTGGCAGAAGCAGCCTGTTCCCAACATAAGAAAACTTGGAAGAATATCTCGCATCAGGGAAAGTTTCCTTCCACTAGAGGAAAGCACATCCATTACTAGATCAGATATGTGGGATCCAGCCCATCTATTTTTCTGCAAGAAAGTTGTGAGGACCAAATCCAACATATCAAAAACAGTCAGCTCAAAAGTAATCGTCTTTTGCTCTAGAGACAGACAAAGAAACACTGTTCATGCTGCCTTCTAAGCTTTGGGAGCCCCATGTGCCTGCTCAACTTTTACATGGGGTTGGAATGGGCAACAGGTGTGTGAAACTGTCAACCAATGAAGACGTCCAGAGCCCCCAAGATCATCATTGCTCCTGCCCAGAAATGTGTCAAAGGCAATACCTATTTATATAATCACATTTTTGCCACTGCATTCAAGGTGGTTCACCATTCAAAATTAGACTTCTGATGGTCTTAAATTTCCGTTTTGACCAAAGTTATATATGCCACAGCATGGCAGGCTAAAAGATCAGTTTTCTGGTACAGTACAGAAGGAGAATAGAAGGCTGTCCAAGTTACACCCACAACTGTATAGATCAGCAGTAGCTGCAGCAAACTGCCAGAGCAAACACTCTGTGCAACCCACCAGTTGCCCAGGACTGCGGATATGATGGGTACAAACTTTGGCCACTGTCATCAGCCAGGACTGCTGAATAGGATTTTTAAAGTGTTTTTTGTAAGCTGCCTCAAAGATCACTTGATCAAAAGGATGGGGGTATACATTTCTAAAATAAATATTTAAATGACCTCTACAGATACCTGTGATTTAATCTTTGGCTAACTCAGATCCATAAAATTATGAATGTTTGTGTGTGTGAGGGTTCATTGTTTTGTTTTTCCCTGCTGCTGAGTGAAGAACATTCTCATTTTTAAAATACCGGCTTATATAAAATTCCAAGAAAATACCATGGCACAGTTACTTTCAAGATCATTTCTGTTCTTCTATATTCAAATAACAGCATTACTGGGCAAAATCCATTTTCAAACAATGGAATGGCAAACACAATATATTTGATGGAAGATTTTGCTTTCTGAGGGTCATGCAATATTGCAGACCTTGACCATATGTTTTCCTGATGCTTCAATGTGTAATTCTACATAGGACTTACTCCAGACTAAGATTTGGACTGTTAGGGAGGCATTCTGGGGTCATTTCTCAAAAATAATGGATGGATGGCCCTCAGAGTACAAACTAATTTAACTACTGTTGGATACCCACAAATATGTAATATTTGAAGCTGTGCAGTATTCGTACATATAGTTGTGTGGGTTTGTTCTCAATTTGTTCAGAACGAGACACTGAATCCATATGAGTGATTCATTGCTCTGTTTTCGTATTAAGAGTTTCTTTATTGCTTAACAGTATTGTTATATACACCATAAATCGATCTGGTTTGGCTCTTTGCCTGATGCATACATCCCTACTCCAACACAATCAAACACCACATCTTTGGATACGCTGCCTCAGATACTCACCTTGAGCAATTCATACATATAAAACCGAATATCAAAGTCTGTCAGGATCTGGTATAGTTGCTGAAATGGAGAAAGAGAAAAAAAGTCAGTACTGTACCTTGCATGTCAATATTCACCACTTTGCTCTGAAGGTCTGGCAGGAGAACTATTTTGTCCTCTGTGAATTTATGGAAAAGGTAGATCATAATATATGACTGACCCCCCCCCCCCCCCTCCAAGAACAGAAGTGACAACAATGAAGAAGAAAAACATGAGCCATAGGCTCAAAGCACTTCTCTTCACTTAGCTGAGAGGGGGCATTCAATTTCATGCAGTAGCCAGGTCCTTAGTAAATGGTTACAGATTCATCAAACCTTTTGGGAATGTGAGCAAGAAGATATGATGGCCTTCAATGGGTATCTGCTATGAAATTATGGAGAAGTGTACCCTCAAGAACTATTTAAATTGCAAGGGCTTTCCAAGAAACAATGCATTTATTTACTCACTTAATTTACACCCTGCCTTTCTCCCCAATGGGAGACCCAAAGCAGCCTCCATTTTATCCTCATAACAATGCCCTGAAGCAGGTTAGGCTGAGAGCATGTAACTTGCCTGAGGTCACTCAGCAAGCTTCCAGGGCAGAGTGGGGATTTGAGTCGGCTCCTAGTCCAACACTCTAATCACTATACCACATTGGTACAACATCTTTGAGAATGTGTAGGATGGAGCAAGATTGGGGGGGGGGGAGAGAACTGCTCCCCAGAGTCAAAAGAACAAAATGAGACCATGCAGAGGCATCTGGCTTCCAGATGATCTGGACAATGAAAAGCAAGTGTGAGGAAGTAGTTAAGTGGGAGGCATTTTCTCTGCAGGAAGGCTGATGAAGCAGATGACAAAATGAAGGATCCTGCCTTTGGTTCTGGAAGAGGAAGTACGGTGTCACGAGACCAATGAAACTCTCCTTGGGTAAGTCTGCAAAACAAACTTGTGAAGCTATGGCTAGCAAAGCCACCCCAAGAACAGTGAAAAAACAATTTGTGTCTTCCACTGATAATTTGCCACAAAAAAAAAAAAAAAAAAAAGCCCTAAGCAGACAGAGGCTAAATTTTCCTCCTTTCTGTTGGTTTTCAGCTGGAAGCTCCACACTGTATCATGATTATTACAAGGAAGATGTTTCTTTGACAGTCAGGTTACACATTCTCCTACTAAGTAAGAATTTTCCTGGAAATTACACATTAATTCCAGCAATTAATTTCAGTAAGTTAATTCTTTAAGTAAAGTAATTAATTTAACTTATTGGAATTAATGTATAATTTCTACAAAAATGAGACTGAGACCCAAATCAGTTGATCGTACGTTTTCAGACTCTTACTTTAACAAAATGCTAGGAAAGATCAGTCTTTGTGGTAATTATTGCCTAATGATTGATCAGTTGATTGATAAACTTTTTAATGAGATAAAACAGATGAAACAGTCTTTAACTAAGGATGGGCCCACTACATTTTATCAGTGGCATGCAGTAGAAAAATTCAGACATGGGAGATAAATTAATTTAGATCATTCAGAAGCTACCAACTTTATTGTGGTTTATTTAATAGAAATCCTGTTTTTAAAACTCAATAAATGTTTTTAAGGGGGAGTTAGTTCTTTGTATCTTGATATAGGCCCCCATGGAAGTGGTGAAGGGCCAACCAGAAGCTTGTTGGAGCTACTGTAGCTAGATGTTATGAGAACAGACATTCCTAAACCTCTTGGGTTCCTCTATTAGCTTAAGTGATCTGAAGGAAGAAGGAGTTACTTTGTAAGTTTCATCAGATAGTAAGAAATTTACTTTCATTTAGAAGTTTACACCCTGCTTTCTTCCCAATGCAACTTACAACATTGTTCTCCCATTTTACTCTCATAAACGACCACCCTATGAAGTAGGTGAAGCCAAGAGAGCGAGACTGGCCCACAGTTACCCAGTGAGCTTCCACAGTGGACAGTGCGTTTGAATCCGGATCTCTTCGATCCTAGTTCTTTGTTCAACTTTGTTGGTCTTGAAGGCGTCACTGGACTCAAAACTTCGTTCTCATGTCTGTTTGTTAAGTCTTGTATTTGTATGTTAATTTACTGCCATTCATAGATCTTAACAACCAACTTAATCCAATCTCAGCTATAATCACTTAGTTACTTATGCATCTTGACTCTAACTAGCCCTTCCTGGCAACTAACCCCCCCATATGTAGCGGTTCAGGAAATTCTGTTTCACTTTATCTGACAAAGTGTGCTTGCACATGAAAGCCTATACCTTGAATAAGACTTTGTTGGTCTTAAAGGTGCCACTGGACTCAAACTTGTTCTACTCCTCATTAACAGCATGCTCAAAGGGAGGTTCAAGAATTCAGTTGAAAATCAAGCTGATGAATTAGCAGTAACTCTTTTTCAGGAGAAGTCAATAAGAGGACAGAACCGGGTGTAAAACCTGGGTTGTCAAGCCATCTAATCCCCTAAAAAATATGGTAAACACAAATCGTACCACTGGCTTTCGGAGATGCTTGGCTGCCACCCACCTCACAGTACAGTTTACAACTAGCTAGCACTTTATGGCATCAGACTGTTTTTAGATGGTTTTATCTATGTTTTAATTGTTCTTATGTTTTATCCCCTTGGAGGGGAGGGCAGGGTATAAATTGAATAAATAAATAAACCCATTTCTTTTATATTCCATAATGCCAAAGTTGGAGGAAGAGTTGCAGAATGAATGGTTGGGCCAGGCAAATTGTACCTTTCAAAAGTTCGCTCTTCTAAAGAAGAATATATGGTAGTACAGACGTTATTTTATTTATTTATTTATTTATTTACATTTATAACCCACCCTCCCCGCGAATGAGCTCAGGGCGGCATACAGATGGGTCCAATGCCCAATACATAAAACATTAAAACTGCATTTTAAAAACATTCAGTACAACATAAGTGCTCTCCACAACAACTAACAAGGGAACAGATGACGTCATCAGGATGGTATCTTTAGTGCCCACAGCTCCACGCAGTACCAACATTTTTGCGCTCACTGCAAGTTGGTAATAAGGGCTAGGACAGATAGTAATAGTCGTAGACAGATGGTAGCAGTCGTGGCGGCTCCTAGTTAAAACGCCTGGCGGAAGAGCTCCGTCTTGCAGGCCCTGCGGAACTGTGCAAGGTCCCGCAGGGCCCGGATCTCCTCTGGGAGCTCATTCCACCTGGTAGTTAATGAAGTCCAACAAAAAGAACTAAATTCACTTCTTGAATCTGGACCTTTTGAACTTTCCCACCACAGACTGAATTACAGAAGCGCAAGTTAAAAAAAAATAGCAGGGACCTGATTTATATGGCAAGACAGATTTTAAGAATCCAGATAGCATTCCAGTTGAGCCATCTGCTAACACTTGGAGAAATTAAGCACCCCATGGGGTCTCTGTTCCTGCCCTCACTATAGGAAGGCTGCCAAACCCTTTAAAAAGATTAAAAGACATGCCAGCAGGTTATAGCACAGGTGCCCCCAAAGAAGTTAGGGTCCAGTTTTTTGCTAATCAACAATCTCTCCATCCTCAGATGCCTGCAGGGTCTAGTTACTACTCATTACTTTTTTAGAATACTGTAGGATGCAGTAAAGAAAGAGGATATAATGAATGCCCATGATACAGTCTGCAAGAGAACTGGGCTCAGGAACTTTAATTTTAAAAATTACCTCCGGGCACAGACTTATCCCAGCAAAAAGCTTCTTCATAACAGCAGAATATTTGTTTGTGTGGAGCCATTTTCATTAGCTTAAATCCAAGACTTTGAATGCAAACTAATCGACCTTCCCCAATGCCATTTTTCCCTGCCTTGGTTAAGGTAAGGTTCAATTTTCCTCATGGAGTCCTGAACCTCTATATAATCTCCTAAAAGTACCAAATATTACAGCTAGATGTTAGAAAAACAGGGCACTGAAGTGTTAGCTGATGTTTTTCTTACTTCAGTACTGGCTGGAAATTTTAATGTTGGAGATTTTAATGTTACAGTTCCGCAGGGCCTGTAAAATGGAGCTATTCTGCCGGGCTTTCAGTTGAGGCACCAGGCATCCTAATACATCTTGGCCTCCCTCTGCTGATGGCACGGATTCTTTTAATTTGGCAAGCTAACCAGCTGCACCACTGAAACACTCTCATCTGAGCCTGTTATTAAGGCCGGTTTTAATGTTAGTTCTACTCTTAATTTCTATTTACTGTTAAACTCTTATTCATTGTCATTTTAGTCACGATCTCTATGTGACTCTGTAACCTGCCCTGAGCCCTCTTGCAGGGAGGGCAGGATAGAAATCGAATGGTGGTGTTGATGATGTTGCTGTTATTATTCCATTATTATTCCACAAATGAGCAACTGTGGTTGTAAGAGACATATACGACACAGACCATTTAGGTGGCATTCATGCAATAATAAACTGAACCCCACAGGCAAACAATTCCTGAGGGTTCTTTATAAAGCAAGACTTAAAGTTCCCAATGGCCAACGTTGAGGGGAATTGCAGGTGTGCTTTTACTTGTATTTCATCCAGTGATTTAATTTCTGCCCTCTTCTCACTTAAGACAGTTAATTACTTTTTCAACTCTGACATTCTGCTGCATGGATGTAGTGACCAATTAAAGATCTAAATTCCCACACTGGGACAGAAAATAACAGCTAATGTGAAACTGGTACTGTTTTGGAGCCTATGTCCTATTTGTGTTCTTCTATACTTTTTACTGAACTTTCACCCTGAGATATTATAGACCTGTTTCCAAAGATAGGTGGGGAAACAATCATCTTTCATTGGCTCATCCTGTTCAAATACAATGACTTCCTCAGGACCTGAATGGTTTTGAGTACTGTAAAGGTAAAGGTAAAGGTTCCCTTGCTCGAAAGCCAGTCGAATCCGACTCTAGGGTTGCGGTGCTCATCTCCGTTTCAAAGCCGAAGAGCCAGCGCTGTCCGAAGACGTTTCCGTGGTCATGTGGCCGGCATGACTAAACACCAAGGCGCACGGAACGCTGTTACCTTCCCACCGAAGTGGTACCTATTTATCTACTTGCAATTTCTTG